TCCAACCTCACTGAGTACTAAATAAACTGAGTTTGACTTTTCATGAAAAGATCAAAGTGCTTGGACGAAAGTAAACAAGCAGAATGCAATTTGCAATCAAGAGCTTAGCTCAGTGTTCCACACGCCATCATTTGGCACTACTTTTACACACTGTAGTACTCTGGTATTTCCATGTGGCATTTTGAATTCTCTCAATGCACGAAACGGGAATGAAAAAAATACAACAACTTGCATTTATATAGTGCCCTTCACATGACCTAGCATCCCAGACGGAGTGCTGGAGCCAAGCTCAAATGTAGTCTTTATGAATTGCTAAATTCTAGAGGTCCAGCATGTAAATATAATTTTCATACCCTCTATATATTGTACAGCATATAGTATATATTTTAGACACTTGACTGTCCAAGCTAAAAACAGATTTTAATGAGACTTGGATCCACATTTGACATTACAGATTTAGATTCCTCCAAAAATGCTGAATGAAAAATTTATTTAAGAACCACAAACCACCACCCACACAATTTTCCTGGCTTTGCAGCATTTGAAGATATTTTCCATTCGTTCTGTTTATGGAATCTCCTCCTTAATGAAACTCTCATGTACTGCTGACACCAATACAACTATATTAAAGTTGATTACATGTCTGGTCATGAAACTACAAATACATCTTACAGCAATTTCTGTACTCTTACAAACTATTTTCCAAGCCCTTACTTTCTAGATTTTTGAGTCTCAGTAAATAGAACGTTTTGTTAAATTAATATTGACAGTAGAAGCACAGAATACAAATTCCACTTAACAACAACAACTTGCATTTATATAGCACCCTTCACTCGGGGTAGAATCCCAGAGCGCTTACTTCACACACACAATCATTGGAAATTTTTGAGTTCTCTGGCTATAAACATTTTACAAAATTTACATCAGTGAGGGTGAAAAAAAGCACCTCCATTTAGGAATTGGCAACTATTTACTTGTGAGATCCAAGCGTTTTCAAAGCATTCTGCATTTGAAGCAAGTTTTAGGCTGTGTTCTCAGGCAAGCTTGAAAAAAATTAAGACTGTACGATATCACTATATATTGTTCAAAAACTATTACAAATGATTCAATTGCTCCTGGGCTTGTGTGTGGTGTTGGTGGTGGGCGAGGAGGGAGGGCGAGGGGGCAAAATCAACCAGAATTCCCATTCCCGTCCCATCACCATCCATTGAAGAAATGGAAAGTGTGTGTGTGTGTGTTTGTGTGTGTGAGGGGGGGGTGGGGGGTCGGGAAAGAAAATCAATTTAACAGCAGGTCCTTCCCCTCTCCAGTCAAATTGCCTAGCACTCTTGGCTCACAGGTGAAAGGTCCCTACACTTGCAAGTACAGGAGTGCACTTGACACTCGTGGAATCATATACAGTGCCAGCATTAAAGTACACAGAAAATAGGATTATCATTAACTGGACCAACAAAATGATAGTTAAAACAGTTAACGTGGATTTAAGCTTTTCAGCCTAGCTGCCAAACTAGAGCTTGAAGATGGTTACAGAATACAAATGTGTATTTGCAAACCAGGTCAACACTGAATTTGCTTTTAAAATTTTTCATAGGCTGGGCAAGATGAGCCAGAAAACAACAGAAGTTCTGAAGAAACACTGTACAACCCACTTCCACCTCTGTGCACGGTACATAGGTTGTGGGTTCAAATCCCAATTTACGAACACTTGAGCTCATAGTCTAAACTGACATTCAATGCAGCATTGGAGGAGAGGAGCGATGTTCTAAGTGCTCAATTTCAAATGAGATATTAACTGAGAAGGCATTTGCTTATTATGCAGTTGGATGTTAAAGATTTCATGACACTATTCAAAATAAATAAGTTTCTACTAATGTCCTAGGCAAGAATTCTCCAGAGTAATTGGTCACTTACTTCATAGTTGTTTGTGGTTTCATTGATTGTCTATATAAATGCATCCCACTTAAACATGGAAATTCCAGAGATAGATGGAATGCACTCTCTCCCTGGAGGGATGCATCCTGCTTACCTAATTCCGGAAAGCATTAGACACAGATTGGCAGGAGCCAAGACTTGGGGACCCCAATGTGTGTTCGTATACTGCTGGAGTCTAATCAGCTAAAGCCGCACAGCTTGCCTTCGATAGCACTGTCTGGCAAGCTTTCCCACTGCTTGTCCAGCTAGGACCACCCTAACCAGCCTTTAGCTTACAAGGTTAGCAGGAGCTGAGTGGGATAACTCCCTGCCCCCAGTGACTGGTTTGCCCTTCATGTCCTGCCAATGAGCCAGCCTTGCTGAGCTGTCATCTGCATTGCCCTGGAGTATGGCAGACCCACCTGGCTCAGGAACTGGACTACTGAGACCACCACAGAGGGCTGACACAATTCCAATTGCTGTTGCCTGACATGTCACCTTGGAGCCAGTTCAACTCTAAGAAGACCCTGCTTACCCCCCAAAGGAGGATACATAGCCACTAGTTTTTTGTCTGATATGCGACAAGCACGGGGTTGGGTCCTCACTAGATGGATAGCACTCCTGCGAGCTGCCTGGTGGGCAACCCTGCTCAGGATGAAATGAGTGAGAACATTTAATCCTCTCATTGTAGCATTATTCAGATTAACAGTAGTTGCTGGAAAGAACTTTTGAAACATTGACATGATAAAGTGCTGTAGCAATGCCAGCTCTTTCCTCCATCAAAAAACAAAAGTTAACCTAGAATTTCCAGCAAAAATATTACATTTATCATCATAATTCCTGTACAGATGTATATTAATTCACTTCTGATACATTTCAATGTAACAAGAACTAGTGCTTTATTTCCAAACTTAAACAAATTGAATTGAAATGGAGTCAATGTACAGAGAAATCTCACTTTGGCAGTTGCATCACTGAATCCTTTCAGCCTAAATGTAAACTAGAGATGATTACACACATTACAACCAATAGTTTTTGTCCCCAATACTCATGGGACTTGGAACCCAGAGTCTAGGCCAACAGTGGCCAACAAAATAAATGTTTTTTGATTGATTATTTATGGCATAAATCTATGCTCTTTTGTTATTTTTATTACTTTGTTAGCCAACCAAAAAGGAGGAGGAAGAGAAAAGTACTGCATTGTCGGAGGTGCCATCCTTAAGTGGTGTTAAACCAAGGTCCTGTCTGTCTGTGGAAACATTAAAGACTCCTTAGCACTACAGTAATTGAAAAGAGAAAAGATTTCCTTTGATGTCCCATCTGACAATTCCTCAGAGAAAAAAATGATCATTTATACAGCGCCTTATCACATCTTCAAGACGTCTCAAAGTGCTTCACAGAATATACTGTAAAGTGAATTGACTGTATATTTTGAGGGCGAAACGTGTACAAATTGGCAACCTCTTATGCCTACAAATACACAGTCACTATTCTTTACAAGACACTCTGAAGCCCTTTGAAATTTCATGATAAGGTGCTATATCAAATGCAAGGATTATTATTACACATTTTATGATGACCTAAAATGTAGTTTTGGATCAATGACATTGTGGCATATTATGAAATATTCTGGTCACTTGTGCAGAATGAGAACAGCTTTTGAAAAAGTATGGCACCTGCAGCACAAATAATCTCTCTTGCTTCCAAGTCAGAAGGTTGTGGATTAAAGCCCCATGTTGGGACTTGAAATTTATGTAGTCTAGGCTCACGCTCCAATGCAATGCTTCATTGTTGGAGGTACAGTCCTTCAAAAAAAAACTTTGAAACATTCTGTCTGCCTGTTCAGGTGAATGTTAAAATATTCCTCTTTATTCAAAAACAGAATAGAGTTTCTCGTGGTGTCCCGGCAAACAATCTCCTCAAGATGGTCTAAAATCATTTAAAATGCCTACAAAATACAGAATCATTACACTGTGCAGTGCTTTGAGATCACCTTCCGACATTAAAGAACATTAAAGTATCAAATACAAGTACGCTTTTCTTTAAGGGGTTGCATATCAGTATAGATTTCACAACTTCTTAGTAACTCAAGCTAACTATCTTTGACACATCGCAACCTGTTATCCTCTTGATGACCCACCCACAATCACAGCTGGTGATCTGCACAATAATTGAATTCTTAGAACTAGAAATCCAAATTGTGAGAAAGTATAAATGGGTACGGAGCAAGACGAGTGTTTTAAGTGAACTCTCTAAATCTACCTTTAGATAAGTCGGCGATATAAACTTGCTACATTTTCCTCTCATAAATTCACAATGTCTTCCCATGGACAAATTGGCCTGAAATACAGGTGTTGTGTGCGTAACTTGTGCATTCAAGTTGTATCCAAATGCTTTAAAGCTAACTTAAACACACTTGGGTGTGGGCCAGAGGCTCACTCCAAACAGAAAATGACCCATGTGTGATATTTCATGGATCTGAAAACTGATCTGAAAGGAGGTTCGTCCAGAACTATGCAAAATTGGGTTAAACAGAAAGTGAATTTGGCAAATTGTAATTTCAAGCGCATCTGTGGGTTTCTTCTGTCAATGTCACACACAGCAAACTATACCTATAAAATAAAATGCTATATACCATTTGTGCATCACATACATGTCAATCCTTAAAGCCTGTATGCAATCCACCACAACCTGGAAACTACTGCATTTTTTTTGCCGTCGTTGTAAAGCAACAGGTGTGAATTCTGAGAGTGTAACTCAATACGGTAAATGGCCTCAAATAATGCTCAACAACAAACCTCACTCTGAACACCGAGGTCACCAGAAACCTTTCCCAAAACCCCTCAAAAGAAAAGGACGCAGTGCTGCGTGTGCAGTGGGTGTAACAGACACAAGATCAAAGGGAAAAGGATGGCCGTTTGAGCAGAAACCAGAGAGAGAGCAGAGAGAGAGAGAGAGAGAAAGAGAGAGCAAATAGAGAGAGAGAGAGCAAAGAGAGAGCGCGGAGGGGGTGAGGAGCAGAGAGAGAGCAGAGAGAGAGCAGTGCAGACACACAGAGCAGACAGACTGAGAGCAGAGTAGTCACTGACCGGCGGCGGCTCCTCCACTGCACGGATATGAAGTGTGTGAGGGGGTCTCTCTCTCTCTGTGCCGGGGCCGGGGGTCTCTCTCTGTGCCGGGGCCGGGGGTTTCTCTCTCTCTCTGGGCCGGGGGGGTCTCTCTCTCTGTGTGTCTCAGGGCGGCCTCAGGCTCTGCGCTTCCCGCGGACCCGCGCAGCCATCTTACTGTCCCGCCCCGCCCCCAGCCCTACTGACACCCCCCCCCCCCCCCTGACTGACACCAGCCCCGCCCCCAGGCCCTGACTGACTGACACCAGCCCCGCCCCCAGGCCCTGACTGACTGACACCAGCCCCGCCCCCAGGCCCTGACTGACTGACACCAGCCCCGCCCCCAGGCCCTGACTGACTGACACCAGCCCCGCCCCCAGGCCCTGACTGACTGACACCAGCCCCGCCCCAGGCCCTGACTGACTGACACCAGCCCCGCCCCCAGGCCCTGACTGACTGACACCAGCCCCGCCCCCAGGCCCTGACTGACTGACACCAGCCCCGCCCCCAGGCCCTGACTGACTGACACCAGCCCCGCCCCCAGGCCCTGACTGACTGACACCAGCCCCGCCCCCAGGCCCTGACTGACTGACACCAGCCCCGCCCCCAGGCCCTGACTGACTGACACACCAGCCCCGCCCCCAGGCCCTGACTGACTGACACCAGCCCCGCCCCCAGGCCCTGACTGACTGACTGACACCAGCCCCGCCCCCAGGCCCTGACTGACTGACTGACACCAGCCCCGCCCCCAGGCCCTGACTGACTGACACCAGCCCCGCCCCCAGGCCCTGACTGACTGACACCAGCCCCGCCCCCAGGCCCTGACTGACTGACACCGGCCCCACCCTGACTGACCTGACTGACACTAGCCCCGCCCCCAGGCCCTGACTGACTGACACCAGCCCCGCCCCCAGGCCCTGACTGACTGACACCAGCCCCGCCCCCAGGCCCTGACTGACTGACACCAGCCCCGCCCCCAGGCCCTGACTGACTGACACCAGCCCCGCCCCCATGGTAACCTGCCGCCTGTGTGGAGAGGTGATGGGCAGAAGCTGCTGCAAACTGCTGACTGGAATACGTGGTGTCAGCTGCTGCTTTGGGTTAGTTGTACTTAGTTGCAGTTTGACTTACAGAAAGTATCCCATTCACGTCCATCGGTCCCCACTTCACATCAATCACCGCCTCTCTGTTCAGGTGGCCTTTTACGCTAAATGTCCCAAAAATAACAACAAAAATAATAATAACTTAAATCAAATAGGGTTTAAGACTTCTGATAGGTATGAGGGGAGGAATTTTCTGCCTGTGACTTATAATATTGATCCATAATATGGGGAGGAAATTTCAAAACTAATAACAGAAGCAATAGCAATCACTTCAATTGCAATTGTCAATTTCGGTGCAAATAAACAATATTTTCACCCACAAATTCACTACAATATATTCTGTGAAGAGCTTTGAGACATCTCAACAACATGATAAGGTGCTATATCAAATGCAACGATTATTATTATAAACAATGAACACATATTCAACTGAACAAAATGTTCATTGTGTTGCTGGAGTTGATACGCTATTGTACAATGAATGAAAATGAAGTTCCAAATGCACAATTGCAGTCAGGACTGAAAATTAAAGAGACTATTAAGAATTGTATAACGCTTGATGACAGTGCATCTCTGTATATTCTCTTACAAGACAGACCGTTTGTTGAAAGAGTTGCGAATTAATTATTTTATTGATACACACAGACTGCCTCAAGCTCTTTTGCTAGATATTTGTGATGCCCAAGTTCTGCGAAGATGGAGAAACAATGAAATGCTTTTCTTGGGAAAGTGAAATCTGCCCTTGTTATGTCCTGTAATACAATAAGCAAGAAAGATCATCCTAAGCAGCCTCCCAATAAGCAGACAATATCTATTTTATTAAATTGTGGAGGGGTCATTTATTGTTGTCCCAGCTGCCAGTGAAAGATGATTAACAGTAATAAAGCAAAAGAAAATAAATTAGCAAGAAACTTTGATATAAAACTTGCAGCATTAAATGAGAATATTAAGCAAATCCCATTCATTTAAGATTGAAGGTAATTTACTGCTAAAAATTATGATACCTCTTGTATTTCATATATCAACATATCATGTCAAAACTTCTCAAACAATTTCACAGAGTTTTTGGCATATTTGTAAGCGAATGTGCAGTGGCAGCCTTGACTGAATTAATTCCATTTCCTTACTTAGGATTTGAACCCATAAACCTTCCAATTCGGAGGTGAGAATGTTATCAATTGTATTAGGCCGGATAGATTTTATTATTTTGCAGTGCCACAAAATTGGCTTACTCCCACAGTCTGAAGCACACACAGATTTTAGCATATCTCTCCTCCATTTTGCTGCGCCATGATAAACAGCATAATGTCTGTATTAATGTGATATCTGAGATATGTCAGGGAATATAGAGATTTCGGAGCTTGGTTTACCTTGTAAGTGAAGCGCTCGGAGATGTTCTTCCAATGTGAAAGGTTCTATGCCAAATGCAAGGAATATTATTACTGTATTATAATCATTATTATTAATGACCCCTTTTTGTCTTTACATTTTTTAATCAGGAAAAGGTTGGTCCATTAAACTCTCAGAGGCTATTTCCTCCCTGTTAAATTTTACAAGTATGGAAATCATAAACGTTTGCCAAAACTTTATAAAATGTAGTTCTGCATATTAATTACAAACTGCATTAAATGCCAATGAATAGAGATACGTTTTTCAACTGCAATAGATAATAGCTGCAATGTACCTTGAAATGAAGCACATGGTTTTAAAAAAAGTAAAATTCAGTCAACAAGAAATGCATTTCATTATACAGGGTGACCAAAAAGTTGTGATACCATTACATTGTCTAATAAAGCAGAAAAGGGAGGCTTATGATAAATGTCAGATTTCTGGTAAAGACAGGATTGGGCTGTGATACCTATCAAGATTAAGTTACCTGCTGACACTCACTGTCAAGACTCACTCTTGAAGAATGGTCTAGGAATTCACTGGCATGTAGCGGAGCTAGAGACCCAGCAAGAGTCAGCAGCTTCAGGAAGAGGAGAAAAGGAAAATAAACTGGAAAGAACAAAATGACATTTTAAAAAGGCATCTGAGGAATCCTGTAATGACACAGATGAGCTTGGACATGTTCTGCTCAAGTTCCAGGAATCAGATTGTAATCTAACCTCATCTGACTCATCTTTTTCCCATCTTCAGTTGTTTTATTGGCTCCAATTCACAGTACAGTGCAGTGCAGAATAGAATCACATCAAAGTACAATCTCTGCTCTGTTATTTTCATTGCACTACCACAAGTACTCAACAACATACTCCTCCCTAAACGTTCAGCACTGCTATTACAGGCTGCCATTAATGTGATGAGTCCTTGATTGTGCTTATAGACCCGGAGAACAATGCTGCTTTATTCCTCTGCTTTGCACAATAAGGACATATTTTATCAACTTTTCTAAAACATAGGTCACATTACAGTCCTGAAGTACAATCAGCAAAGTGCACCTAAGAAAGGCTAAATGAGTGAGAAAAACTTTGGAGAAAAGTTAGATTTGTTTTTAAATTAATGTTAATGTCCCAAGTCCAGAAATCAATGAATAGGATGAAAGATCTTAAAACAATTATGTCTGCAATCCTGTGAAGTGTGGTTAGCGGCCGTTCCCTCTGCTCAGTGAACAATGGTTTGTTTCATGTGGCCTTCCCAGTTTGCTTTATCATTGATGAGCTGGATTTCAGCTATTTTACCCCTGCTCTCTGGAACTCCATCCTAGAGGTCCACCTCTTCACCTCTCTCCTTCCCCATCTTTAAAGTCTACCTTAAGACCTTTCTTTTCGACTGGCTTTTGGCCACCCCAGCCTCAGCTCAGTGATCCCAACCAGAACTGTGAAATGCTTGAGACGTCCTCCTTATGTGAAAGAGGCTGTATAAATGTAAAAACAGTTTGAAAATAGAACTCTCTCACCCAAAATTAGTTTTAGTTTTTGTTTCGATTTTGGGTCTGAACTTCCTCAAATCCAAAGTGACTGATCTCAGCTGTTTTGTGATGACAGTAAGCTGTTTCCAAGCCAGGCAAATTGTTTGACAGCAGTGAGGCAAGGAGAAAGAGCATCTTTTTTCTGGCAAACCAGTCACCTCGCTGTGTGTGGAAATTTGTTCCCAGCAGTGATGCTGTGATGATACACGTTTGCTAGTTTTAACTTGCAGTCTGAGAAGTGACTAAATAAATTAAACAAAACTGTTCTCAAGTAACTTGCGGCTTGTTGGTGCTGACGTTCCGGCCACGTTGACACTGCAGAACTGAATTGAATGGCTCTGTGGAAATAAGTGCTCATGCACACACTAACATATGGCAGTTTTTTTCTTCGCCAGGACTTGTGGCTCATTTTCTGGGTAATCTCCAGGGAACATTCACACAGATGAGCAAAGCTAAGCCAGGGCCTGAAAACAACGCAGCAAATTTATCTAGCAGCAGCCAAACAGTACTGTTTATCCAGGTGCTTGCTGTCTCCAGAAGCAGACTGAAATCAAATGACGCGGTGATGGTGATCACTTCCTGAGGTGAATAATAATATTAATAATAATAAATCTTGCATTTGATATAGTATCATTGATGTTGGGAGGATGTCTCAAAGTATTTCACAGGATTTACTATAAAGTGTAGTTAGTAACTGTGTGTTTTGTAGACAAACATGAGAGCCAATTTGCACACCAATTTGCACACCACAACAAAATTACATTTATATAGGGCCTTTCACATTAGAAGGATGTTCCAAGGCGTTGGACAATTAAGAGTTTGCACCCGAGCTGAGGGTTGGAATCATGAAGGAACATAAAAAAAATTGTTCACTCAATCCACGAGTGTTTGTGAGACACTGCTGTGTGCAATTGGCTGCCGCAATTCGCCCACAAAATATTCAGTCAATTCACTTTACAGTATATTCTGTGAAGCGCTTTGAGACGTCTTGAAGGCGTGATAAGACGCTATTTCAAATGCAAGAATCATTATTATTATTGACTTCAGAAAAGGA